TTCTTTCCTGCGCGGCATTTGTATGCCTGCCTCTCTTCTCTTGTCTGTCGTCATTAGGTACGTGTTCGGTCATGAGATCAGATCACCAAAACACAAAACAAATGGGATCCATGACCCATGCGCGGATCGTATAAATAATAAAGGTATACTAATACAAAGGAAAAAAATCAGGTACAATTATGCAAATTAAAATACATACACATTCAAAAATAAATAAATTGCATTCATGGTACATGAATTTGAGGTGTGTATAATTTAATGTAAAAACTTGAGAAATAAGCGTAATAGTGCATTAACTTAGCAAATGGGTTTAATATAGTACAATAACTTAATAAGTGGTGCAACAACTTAATTATTTCGAGCATTATGTGGCTATGCACGTTCAGTTTTTAAGTACCTATTTTTTAATATAATCATGCAGATTTGTATGAGTATAATATGTTTTTATCATTCTAGTAAGTAAATGTCAACTAAATTCTAGTGTGTAGAAATTTTTTCGGTTGAGATTTGAGATGGTGAAGGAAAAAAAATCCAAACAGGTGGTGTAAAATGGATGAGCAACACAATTCTTATAAATTACATCAAAAATTGTAAGACAATATCTACATGAGTACTATGTGATGACATCTTGATATCGTGGAAAAAGACTCACTCGTTAACTAATTAAAATAGCACATACCTAGCCAAGTTACTACACTAAAATACTAAATTATTAAGTTTTTTATATTAGAGCACACCAGCTTAACAAGTTATTGCATTTATATGTTCCCGTACTAAATCAACCAACCTATCAACTTGTTCTATCGTGGGTAAAAAATGTATAATACTCTAGGAGTAATAGCAAACACAAACTTTGAATCCGAGAAAGCATACAGATGCATGGTGCCCGTTTGGAGTTTAGGGCCACTTTTACCTGGGCCTATTTTCGATCCGACGGCCCATAGTATCAGGCACGCAGCATGCAGCGAACGGCTTACTTGGCGGGCCGGGGGAGCAAACTGCAAAGGAGATATGGCCCGACCCATTCTAAACATGCATGGGCTCTCAAAACTCAATTGAACTTGTAGAGAGATCCCACAGTGACAGAACAACGTGTATATGCCAAGTAAAGGATTCTGGATTCGCCACCAATTCATCATCTTTTTACCCAACATTCCGCACTAAAATCACCTATAAACATGGTAATTACTTAGGAAAAAAACAGTCTAAATTAAAGGGTATATGAGGGCCATTTCATGACTTGTTTGGTCTGCTATCCTATTCTCTGCTAGCCAGTCAGGTTAAAAGTGGGACAGATAAGACGACACAGGCAGAGATTACAGAAGAGAAGATTTGGCGCGAATCAGGCCATGTACTGATTAGCTACTAGGCTTTAGAACTGATCAGAATAAGTCTGGATCATCTATATATCTATGTCGCCTTTCAATTCTCTCTCTATATATAACTGTCCAAATGTATATATATTACTTTGCGATCTGCATGCGTGTGCACTAATCTTTCAGTTAATGGTGAGAATTAATTCCACCATGATACATATGTATGGCCATCATCGATCTTCACGCGATGATCGATCGATCGATCGAGAACTACATTTATGCGAGCTAGGTTGGTAAATTAATTAATCATGACCCGTGTAGATAGGCTTTAGAAATTAAACAGCTGAAAAGAGCTTGAGAGAATGAGTTCGTTTGAAACTCTGAATCTAATTATTTTGTCTGTCCAAATGCATTCGAAGCTAGCTACACCTGCATGCTGCCAAAGAATAGCTTAACTTAATTGTTGTGAGACCGTATGTGTGGAGGGCATGCATTCCAGGACTATATATACAAATATAATTAATGATGAGATCGTGTTCCACGTGACATGATATGATCGATCGATCGATCAACTAATGTAATGTATGTCTTCCTGACAAATCATTCACATATATATGCATGTAATTAATTAATCAAAGGGCTATATCTAGCTAATATATCTCTACTGCTTCGTATCTCAGTGGCTCTGATCGTTGGACAGGTTCAATCACTAAGACACATGTACGTACACTAGCTAGCTAGCTTGGCATATTAGACAGCTAGGTTAATTTGCCTGCCAATATTGTCCACACAATCACCCACGCATGCATATATATATATATAGCTACCTATCTAGGATATATACATACTTCCTTCGTCTCAAAAAAAAAAAAACTTAACTTAGTATTAAAATATGACATATATCCCATGTCTAAATTCATCATATTAGGATGTATCACAGTCTAGTACCACGTTAAGTTTTTTTTTAAGGGATGGAAGAATTTTATATATATATATAATGGAGAATATATATATATATATATATATATATATATATATATATATATATATATATATATATATATATATATATATATATATATATATATATATATATAACCATGGATAGATGAGATTGATCAAGCTATAAATGTATATGAGGTAAGCATCTCCGAGCGATAATCGATCCAGCCATGCATGCATACATATCCCGATCGAGTTAAAAGAAGAATGTCTTATCATGCCTGCTTTTGGTTAAGTAGTTAAATATAATTAGTGACGTGTCGATCATGTCGCAGTTGCTAAAATTACAGAAAATTAAGAATATGGAATCCCATCAGCTGGCCTGGCTCATTCTAGCAGCCTCCTGCATGCAGCGGATATAATATGATGTAATATTAGTAGTGGCTTCTGACTCGTCGGCTTTAGCTAATACTAGCCTTTATGATCTGAACTTTTGATGAAACACACAATTAATTCCTTAGCTTTTTTCTAGCGTCGTATGTGTATGTCGATTTGTGTTAATTGGTAGCAAACCGAACTATTAGTTGTCGCATGTATCAAGGTGAGTGGCCTGCAGGGAGTTAATTTGATATATGACGATATCGTATAGTCATATAGTCATATACGAGAGTACGCATGCTTCATATATGCGTTGCACCTGTAGATATTTTTTTCAGTCTGTTCATAGATAGTTTCATGCATTATATCGCCTTGATCGGCAATTTGATGATTATTTACTACCGTTAATTATATGATGTGCTCATCAGTACCTGCCTTGCTAACTACTTTGCTGATCATCGGAGTAAATTAATCCGACCAATGGTCGGCGCATGCATAGCAGCGCACTGATGTACTCCCTCCGTTCCTTCATATTATAAAACAGTTTGATCTTTTTCCTATTCAAAATTTATTAAGGGCTAGTTTGATTTGAAGTCAAATTAAACTTGCCATACCAAATATCGGCATTTTAAATAGTGATTTTGGCAATGTTTGGTTTGCTACCAATAGTTGCTAATACCACACAAATATTACCAACAGATTGGCATTGGCAAAAATTTGTCTATGATTTGGCATTGCCAATAGTTTGGCATGGTTGCAAATTAACCAAACAAGCCCTAAAAAACACGGTAATATTTAACACAAAATAAATATAGTATTAAAATAATTCAAATATTAGATTTAGTAACACTAATTAGGTATTGTAGATGTTTTGCTAATTTTTTTGTTGTGGTTGTTGTTGTTGTTGTGTGTGTGAGATGCCTAAATGCACACATGTAGAAACCAAAGAAAACAGAAAGATATTTAAATTAACAGATATAAATATATACAGCACATATGTATATATCTAGCTAGTTTAGTTAAGGGCGCGGCGGTGATGATGCATGATCTGAAAGAGACAGTGTGCAAGCTGATTATTGTATGTTAGATTTAATTAAATAGTTAAATAATGGCAACATTTAACTGCTCCATATCGATATGGATATATCTAATCCTACATGTCACATGTGCATACGTACTTGTTATTAACGCTGAGACTGAATTAATATACGCCCTCCGTTTCAAAATGTTTGATACCGTTAACTTTTCAGTACGTGTTTGACTATTCATCTTATTAAAAAAATCAAGTAGTTATTTATTCTTTTCATATTATTTGATTTATTGTTAAATATATTTTCATGTACAGATATAGTTTTACATATTTCATAATTTTTTTAATAAGACGAACGGTTAAACATGTGCTAAAAAGCCAACGGTGTCAAATATTTTGAAACGGAGGGAGTATTGCAGCTAGCTCGCGATTAACCAAGGTAGCTATGGCCGGCCGACGCTTCTAACTGGCGCGCGTGCCAACTCTCGATCGACTGCTAATCATGCTTGCTTAATTTGGAAGGCCACGACAATCCATTTTAAGTCGTATAATTAACCTTTTGTAATTTTGAGTGAGACCACAAGTAGATCGACGGAGACATTCTACTTGGCATGCATGCAATGCAGAAACGCGCAGAGCTAGCATTATGTATGCTTGTGAATTGTGTGAGAGAGAATTAGCTAGATTGATAATGTACATATATGAATTTGTATGCGATATATATGCTAGTATATATAATATGCAGTTAAGTGTACAAATTAAATGCACTAATTTGCATTACAAAATTAATTAATACACATGTGGTTATTAATTTGTCCCGAAGCGAGAATAATAAAGCCGGGTTGCAGTGTGACGAGAGGGGATGATCGATTAGTTTACATTACCCTTTTGATCTCATGGCTTTGACTCTTAGGGTTTGTACGCTACCTAGCTAGCTTTGCTTTCGGACAGAGCTAGAGGTGATTATTACTCCCTCCGTTTCAAAATGTTTGACACCGTTGACTTTTTAGTACGTGTTTGACCATTCGTCTTATTCAAAAAATTTAAGTAATTATTTATTCTTTTCATATCATTTGATTCATTGTTAAATAAACTTTCATGTACACATATAGTTTTACATATTTCACAATTTTTTTTAAATAAGACAAATGGTCAAACATGTGCTAAAAAGTCAACGGTATCAAACATTTTTAAACGGAGGGAGTAGTAATTAGAAATGAATAAAAACCCTAGCTAGCTAGCTACATGTTGATGCGTATTAGTTATTCATGACATCAGCTAGCTAGGCAGACGAGAGTACGTCGAGTAGTATTTATAGCCGGCATGGAGGAAGCGAGAGGAAGCATCAGCAGCGCATGCACTAGCAGCTTAGCTACTGCGCGCGTACCAGAGAGAGATCATCAGCTCAAGTAGCTAAGCTAGCTATAATCTGCTAGCTAGCTCGATCAGACACTTAATTACCTGCTAGGTGGTGGTCGATCGAAGAAGAAGAAGATGAGTGAGCTTGCGTCGGCGCCCAAGGTGGCGCTTGGATCGATCGCGTTCGCGGTGTTCTGGATGATGGCGGTGTTCCCGTCGGTGCCGTTCCTGCCGATCGGGCGGACGGCGGGGTCGCTGCTGAGCGCGGTGCTGATGGTGATATTCCACGTGATCAGCCCCGACGACGCGTACGCCTCCATCGACCTCCCAATCCTGGGCCTCCTCTTCGCCACCATGGTGGTGGGCAGCTACCTCCGGAACGCCGGGATGTTCAAGCACCTGGGGCGTCTGCTGGCGTGGAAGAGCCAGGGCGGGCGCGACCTCATGTGCCGCGTCTGCGTCGTCACCGCCCTCGCCAGCGCCCTCTTCACCAACGACACCTGCTGCGTCGTCCTCACCGAGTTCGTCCTCGAGCTCGCCGCCGAGCGCAACCTCCCCGCCAAGCCCTTCCTCCTCGCCCTCGCCTCCAGCGCCAACATCGGCTCCGCCGCCACCCCCATCGGCAACCCCCAGAACCTGGTCATCGCCTTCAATAGCAAGATCACCTTCCCCAAGTTCCTCATGGGAATCCTCCCGGCCATGCTCGTCGGGATGGCCGTCAACATGGTCATGCTGCTCTGCATGTACTGGAGGGAGCTGGGCGGAGGGGCCGAGCTCAGCGTCGACGGCAAGCAGATGGAGGCGGTGGAGGAAGGCAGGTCGCCGGCGTCGGCCAAGAGCACGCCGCAGCTGAACGGCAACGGCAACACGATGATGTCGCTGGAGATGTCGGAGAACATAACGACCAAGCACCCATGGTTCATGCAGTGCACGGAGGCGCGGCGGAAGCTGTTCCTCAAGAGCTTCGCGTACGTGGTGACGGTGGGGATGGTGGTGGCCTACATGGTGGGGCTCAACATGTCGTGGACGGCCATCACCACGGCGCTGGCGCTGGTGGTGGTCGACTTCCGCGACGCCGAGCCGTGCCTGGACACCGTGTCCTACTCGCTGCTCGTCTTCTTCTCCGGGATGTTCATCACCGTCAGCGGCTTCAACAAGACGGGCCTCCCGGGAGCCATCTGGGACTTCATGGCCCCCTACTCCAAGGTCAACAGCGTCGGCGGCATCTCCGTCCTCTCCGTCATCATCCTCCTCCTCTCCAACCTCGCATCAAACGTACCAACGGGTAATTATACATTCTATTAATCCAGAATTAATGTATACTACTCCATATAAGTATAACTAATTAACATACAAAAATATATATGCGCATGCATGCAGTGCTTCTTATGGGTGATGAGGTGGCGAAGGCGGCGGCGCTGATATCGCCGGCGGCGGTGACGACGTCGTGGCTGCTGCTGGCGTGGGTGAGCACGGTGGCGGGGAACCTGTCGCTGCTGGGGTCGGCGGCGAACCTGATAGTGTGCGAGCAGGCGAGGAGGGCGCCCAGGAACGCCTACGACCTCACCTTCTGGCAGCACATCGTCTTCGGCGTCCCATCCACCCTCATCGTCACCGCCGTCGGCATACCCCTCATCGGCAAGATCTGATCTCATCTCATCGACCCATCCAAATTAATTAATTATGAGATCGACAAACATCCAAGCTTGCTAGGCTCGTCGTCGTCGTCGTCGACCACCGTACCATATATATGCATGCATGCCACGCACGTATATATATGCTCCTCAACCTCAAGTCAATTAATTAAGAGAATGGATGAATGAATCAATGTTGTGTATGATTTCCTTTTTGTTTTTGTTTTACCCACCGTATATGTGCTGTGTGGTGTATGGCCGGCGAGCTTGAAATTGAATTGGCCTTGCTTGCATGCATGCATGGTGATCAGATCAGCTCAGCTAGCTAGCTAAATCTTGCTTAATTTTATCAAGTGTCAATCATGATGAGAAGAGAGGGAACTAGATGGAGCTAGCTAGCTAGCAACACATGCAGTGTGTGCTAAGCAGTGCACTCTGCATGCTTAAATTTGCTTGCTTAATTCAACATCGTATTACATGTATGTTGATATGTGCATGTTCCTCAAAATACATGGAAAAAAAATGTTTCTACACATCTCAATCGTATAGAGTATGTAGCATGTCTTGTTCAAACAAATATTTGTAGCCCTCTCTCTCTCTCTCTCTTTAGGTTTATTAATTAATTAGTCTGTTCAATGTCACCTCAGTTCATAGAGATGCTATACTTAATTAATTGCTCCATGTATGCAGAGTTGTACTACCTTAAAATATCAGTATGCATGCTCTTGTTGCCATTCCAAAAGAACAAAAAAGAACTCTCTGTGGCAGTTGGCACTCCCACAATCACGGAATCTCTGGTCCAAATTAAAGCAAAATGATAAGTGCCCTCTTCATTAACAAAAGGAAGAAAAATAACAAGTGTCGCTTTCCAAAGGCAAATCTCACTTCCCTTCATTTAAAAAGCAACGAATCCGACTCTTATTCTAAATATAAATTAAATCAAGTTACACACCAGCACACAGCAGATCCACTAGCCGGCAAAAATGCTGAATACTGTGCTTGTACTTTCATCAGCCAGAAAATAGAAGATTTTAGAGTGTACGCTTGTGTATATTTAATTTGTTTGCCCACCACTGACTGTACTCCTTCCGTTCCAAAATATAAGTCATAACCACCCTTAATTCAAAGACCAAGACCTCCTAATTTGTATCACCCTAATAAATAAAATGCATGCACCCAATAGAATTAGAGATTTTAAGGGTAGAGGATTTTAAAAAATCATAATTTAATGGAGAAGATGTACTAATTAATTGTATGCATGCACATCTTATATTATGGAACATCTGAAAAAAAAAGTAGTTACGACTTATATTATGGGAGGGAGTAGTAATTAAGAGGGTTTAAATGCTCTAAACCGAGTAGTACATTTATATTTTTAGGCAGTGAAATTACTGACATCATTGCTCTTTATGTATTCGGAAAGTTTGGTTCTATCGGACTTCTTGATATGGTATTAATTCGGCTGAAAATTTTATTTTTTATTTTTTGTATTTAATCAAATTATGTTTAAAATTTTGCACATCGGCACCCTCCGATACAAACGCCGAAAACGAAAGATTAAACCCGGCTCATTACAAATTAAACATTTTATATTAGGGTTTTTGTTTTTGATGATAAGAGGTTAGAACAATAATAAGAGGAGAAGTTCTAAAACCTTTATTTTCTCACCTCCTATGTTCCAAACGGCTGGGTTCCCAAATTCATGAAGGCATGCAAATCTTGTGTTCCAAACGTCTTTAGGTTACGAGCCGAATTCATGAATTCAAAATTGCATTAACAGGGCTGGGGATCCGCCACTGTCACCAACTGTGCATTTTTTTTTTCAAATGCCATCTTTATTGAAAGACAGCTACTTTTTTTTTCATAAAAAAGGGAAAAAAACATAAAAGGAGAGGAATGGCATCTCTTGGATTTGGAGTATATATGTAATGGCAAGTGTTTTCACAGGTTGGTGACAAAGTTCTGCGAACTTTAGTCTAAGTATATGCTTTTGGACTTGTAATATTTTTTTACGGCCTTAGGACTTGTAATTCACAAGTTCTATCTTTCTCATAATAGGACATTCCAAACTGAAATGTGTACAGCACATGAGCAAATATCTCAGGACCGAACATATTCTTCTCAGAGGGAAAAACGTCAACAAAAAGAGGCAATTAATTAACAGCATTTCTCGATCGATAGGAAACTGGTAAGCAACGATAGGTTACTTTCTCCTATATAACGTGATATCTTCCTAACCACCCCTCTTTCTATAATTCACAGGATGATGCAAACCTCGCTACTTTCTACTCCAATGGCCATCCGACAACACATTTTTTAAATTCAGGCTATATTTTTAAGGTGATGCAGTCTTTCTATTACAAGAGACTTCCTGTACATCCGACAACACATTTCTCCACTGTGCAAATATGTGCATTGCATTTTTTAATTCATATGGCATTTTTAAGGATGATGCATGCAACGATGCTACCTCAGTACTGGCGTTCTGCATCCGACAACACATTTTTGCCAATGTATAAATATTTGTATAACGATAATAATTGTATGGGAGTGACGCTGGAAACTCACCTGCCAATGCCATCATCAGACATGCTAACTGCACCACCATAAAACTATTCAGGCAGCCAGGCAGACACCAGTTGATGCATCTAGTTGGATAGCCTCCCAGCCAACTAGGTCATACATGCCTGCACAATTGGCAATGTAATCACTAAATTAACCCCTAATCTGTCAAGATAATGTATCCATATGAATCATGTAAAGTTGAAAGTCATCCTAATAGAAGAAATATATGAGAAATTACCTGAATGACAACTCAGAGGGTAAAGCTGCATTCTTTTACATGATGACGCACGCACTATATTTACACAGTAGATCAACAATTAAACTTTACTGTATCAAAATGAGAAAGGAAGATGGTTAGTCCAATTTTAATCCATCATCACTTAAAAGACTAACCTTTTCTGAATAGTGCTTTCAATATTATTCAATGTTAGTAATGAACTTTACTGTATGCATACTGGACAAGTCAATAAATATTTGGAAGGACTTGGAATCCACAAAATTTTGTTTTGGAACAACAGAATCCACAAATTGATTTTTAATAAGATGATAAAACAAAAAATAAATATTAAAATAAAAAATAAAAATGATTGAAAGGATGCATATGAAAATGGTTAAATTCAACCCTGAGAAAAGCTAGAGCCCAATTCTCTCTGGAATGAGAAGACCGAATGAAGCTTATACTCTGACATACTCCCTCCGTCCCAATATGTAGCATCCTAGGATGGGATTAGACACATCTTAAGACTACGAATCTGGACATAGATTACTACATATTAGGACGGAGGGAGTATGTTTTTAATTGCCAAAATCTTGTTACGCAAATACTCTTGCAACATTAGCTAACATAAAATGAAAAATAAAGGATAGCTTGGACATTGTTATAAGGAGACCAATTTACTGCTGAAGTTTGTGGCCGCCTTGTTATAACTGCTGTCGCCTCCAGAATTCTTCAAATGCAAAATAGGTTTTCTGAATCAAGAGGGATAGATCAGAGGTATAATTTGCGACCGAGATATATTTACTTAGGCATTTAAGGTGATACACTGTGAAATGACATGCTACAAGAATGTTCTTTAATGGAGAAAGGCTTCTGTAGCCTGACATCAAGTATTATGTACAGTAACCAGAGCAGAATTGTATGTAGGATGGCTGAACGCTTCGTCAACAATTTTTCTCCAGTCATCTTTGCATGCTTCCATATCTGACCTGCAAAAGAAGAGGAAACTAATGGTTATAACAGGGGAGTGAAGAAAAGAAAATCTAGTAATTTGTAATGTCAAATTCCCAAACCATCAACTTACAAATCAACAGGGACAAAGAGCAGGACAAAGTTGTACAGCCATATCAATCCAGCCTTGAGCCAACCAACACCCTTTGCAATAGCAAAATCCAAGTCACCTCCTACAGCTTTACGGGTTGCCACCTGACAGGAAACATCACTCGATATGATTGGTATCTACACCAAGTATTTATATGAGTAGCATATAAACACCAAGAATTTAGAAACTTCATAGTTTCTACGTACTATTTTTTTGAGAGGATGAATAACGATTCAACTCAGAGGGTTTCTTGGAAGGAATTATGGTGAGCAGCAGCCCAACTGAACATTAATAATTTGCAAAACTTTAGTTGGTACAAATGATTTAGCTCTGAATGTAAATAATGATTAGACGATGCTGGTAAAATAACAGTTAGGCAATTATTTCTAGAATCCTAGCCACAAACAAAGTGGCCAATTGCTAAATTATGGTTCTGACCAGTAGGTAGAAGTTCCGTGAAATCAACAAGCAGCAAACGAAGGATGGACTCGGCAAAAACAGAAAGAGAAAAGTTAACGATCTCACCATCTGGGTAAAAATAAAGGCAAATGTTACAACAGGTCCAGGACATCTGATATGGCAGCAATCATCTGAATAAGCAAACAGTGCAACAGCCTGATTCACAATGCTCATCTGAAGGAACAAAGCAGCTCTAATTTCCTCATCGGTGTCCATCAGTGATTTATGTTCAATTTTGCACTGTCCACAGCCTAAATAATCAGCTCATTCAATTTTCCAGACCAAAATAATCTCCTTTAATAAGAAGAAAAGGTGCTTACTGAAAAGAAGCCTGTCATTGTTGCAGCCCTGAAAAAAATGGCTGTACTCAGAACAATGTAGCTACCAAAAGCAGCACCGCTAGCAATGATTTTCTTAACTCTCAGTGTATCCCGTGAAATCAGATAAAAGCAACAAGTAATACTTACTAATCATGAAAAGAAACAAGGGCACAAACAATATATATTGTAGAGTAAGGTTGGCCTTTTGTAGCTGAAACTCACAGTAATTAAAAGCAGCAATCACCAGAGTCAAGAAACTTGGTAAGTCGAAGTTCCATAAAAGTAAAATGGCATGGACACCGAACTTCAATAAATATAATTATTAATGTTAGCATTGCATAATGCTGTAGTTTTCAAAACATAATCACTGTTTGTACTCACAAGATGGACAGTTGATGAGACAGTGTAGATCTGCAACAAAAGCAACGCATCTCAACTGACTACCCATTTTGTCATCTACACGTCAAATGCCTTGCCAGCAACAAAAACTCTTGAACTGCATCAAAATTGACTTACCATATAGCCCTTCATCATCTGACAAATTTCCCTACTGATTTGCACGGCTGAAGAAATAGGTATCAGGGCAGGCTGAGTCAAAACAAGATCGGACTCACTTTTGGTGTAATCAGTGGCATCAGCTACTGATATTCCAATATGACTTTCACCTATGGAATCATGATCAAGAAATTCATGCCCAACCATTGCACAACGACATCCAAAATTTCTGAGTCTTCTCACTATATCACTGTTGTCCTCTGCACTAACAAATAGAGCGAGCAAAATGGTAAAAGTGGTGCTTCTGTGCTTAACAAAAATAACTAAATTGCATAAATCTTAAAGCGGCATTGTTGGTAGTGTAGTAGCAGTGGTGTTTGCCA